GGTGAGATCATCGAAAAATGTGTCAAATTTGACAGTTGACATGGAGCTACCAAATAGTGAATAACTGTTTTTATAGGAAGAATATTATGGTTTGAGACTTTTAAATACGTCTGTGAATATATTAGGAATCCTTTAAGTATACTCGTATTCACTGATTTCAAGTGGTAAATAAATTAATAGATGATTAAGTTGAGATGTTGGATTTCGACACATGAAAACTAATTCCGACACAACTTGAATTGGACACACACAGATAATTCAAAGCTTTGTACAAAAATTGAAATTTGCTTAATTAAAAGCCTAATAGCTGTTAATTAAAACGTAATTAAGTAGTGTTCAATATTCGTTAGTGTTCTAATTCAAAGCCGTGTTCTATCCCAATACAGCTCACACAGCAAACGGAATTCGAACACGTGGATGTCGGCAATACGTATCAGTTAAATTTGAAGCGCTGACGCAATACAACTCACCACGTGTCGGATGTTTCCACACAAAGTGACGGAATATAGGGATTTGGTAGGTTTCCATTCTAAAGGATTTTTAATAAATATGGCAACATTTTGTGACATTTCATCGTTGCTGACGCATAGTGAAGTGTTTTGAGAGTCATGTGAAGGTAACAGAACTTAGGTAATGCATACGGTTTTTTATAGTTTTTCATTTCTCGATGCGTCCTTAATGTGTCGGAATATACCGCGTTTACCCTATTCATTATTCATAGATCACAATTAGGTTGGAAATGAATTACAAAACTGAATAGTAGAAGGCATTGCAACAATCCACATGGCTTGAGATTGGTCATGCAGTGTGGAATTCTAGAGGGATAATAAATTAACCAGTACACATAGCATATTGGAAAGCAGGACCTGAAAGCTGGGAAAGGCCAGGAACTTTACACTTTGTCTATTATTTACATATCCTATCCCTTTCCAGAATTCCATTTGTGATTGGTTTGTTATTTTAGCCACTTTCAGCTTTCCAGCTTTGATTGGATAATGGAATTGTAATATTATCTGCTTTCAAGCTGTGATTGGCTGATGGGGATGCTTTCAAGCTGTGATTGGTTGTGCCCAAAAGCCCCGCCCCCAAGTATGGTATATGTAATACAGTACTGGTTAACTAAATACTTAACTGAAACTTGATCATTACAAACAAAAGGCCTGGAATTTTTTTTTAAAAAACCAATAAATGTAAGTGGTGCCTTCTAATGAGTAATGAGGGACTGATTTTGGCAAATAGAAAAAACCTGAATGTCAATGTCAGGAGCAGGGCTGGAAAAGTCCTATTTTTTCTGTAATATCATGGCTGTAATATCATGTATTTTGTTATATTGAAAAAATTGCGGTTTGCACTGTGCAAATATCATTTCATAAAATTTCTAACTTCCACAATCCGCACTTTTTCAACGATCCTGCCAAAATTATACATAGTTGCAACTGGCAAAGCAGCAATTTTTTTAGATTCTTCCTCAAGTTCATTTCTGAGTCCAATAAGTAGACTAGAAAGTATCTTGGATACCAGCATTTTCATACATAAGAAATTGATTAAAATATTGAGTAGATGAGGAAATTGAAAATGAACTGATTCTAACAAATCTCTGGTTTGCCACTATCATCCTGCACAACAAATCTGACTCTAGGGTGATAACATCCCTAGACTTTGATGGTGCCTCCTGCACATAGTGGCAAACCAGAGCTTTTTTAGAATCAGTTCATTTTTAATTTCCTCATTTACTCAAGATTTAAACCAATTTCTTAAGTATGATAATCATAGTGACAAACCAGAGATTTTTTAGAATCAGTTCATTTTTAATTTCCTCATTTACTCAAGATTTAAACCAATTTCTTAAGTACCGGTATGATAATGCTGGTATCCAGGATACTTTACTGGTCTACTTAACTTATAGGACTCAAAAATGAACTTGAGGGAGAGTCTAAAAAATTCTCTGCTTTGCCACTATGCTCCCGCATGACAGGCTCAGGTTTGGAGTGACACTTGACTTCTTGTCAACAAAACATGTCAATCAAAAACATTTCTTTGTAGATCGCATAGTTGGAGTCATGTCAGACCAGTCAGACTGCATTATCATGTGATCAATTGCCACTCGATTGAAGACAAATGTTAGTGTTGACTGTTTTCAGGGTAAAATTAGAGATTAGAGGTAACACGTGCATGGGACTTAGTAGAAGATTTGCAGCTGCCAGCTTGTAAATGTCTTTTAAAAGCTGAGATATGGAATTCAAGGCTCAAAAAAATCAAGTCAAGGCTCAAAGAAATGGAATCATGGCAGGCAAATCCATAAAACCATGGTTCCAAAAATTGAGTTGCGGTTCACCAAGTAGATTTTTTCCATGCCTGGTTGGGAATACTTACATTACGTTCCCGACATCCTCCCAGCTGGTGAAATGGGTTTGTGCGGTGCAAACCCATTGCTAACAAAAATACAGGCAATGCAATTTTTTTTAATTATCAGATCTCAATTTTTGCAACTTTGAAAGTTAATTATAAAGACAAAGACAAACAACAAACATTAATAAAATATGAACAGCTTTGAGAGACACATCACATGACACATGATGATGTATCAGCCATAGTGACAAACCAGGGATTTTTAAGGATCAGTTCATTTTTAATTTTCTCGTTTACTCAAGATTTAAACCAATTTCTCAAGTATGATAAGGCTGGTAGTATCCATGATACTTTACTAGTCTACTTATAGGACTCAAAAATGTACTTGAGGGAGTGTCTAAAAACTCCTGCTTTGCCACTATGACCTACTCCTACACATCCACTCAACAAGTTTATATTCCAATTTGTCATAGCACTTATACGGTGACCAAACCATGAATAACAATACCTCAAAATAAATTAAAAACTGTCACTTAATATATTTAAATATATAAAAAAATCAAAAATAAAAAAAATAATAAAAAATCATGATTTATTTTAACAATTCCAAATGATTTAATCACACAATTTAATCAGTTTGATTTAATCAATACCAACCCTGGAAAATAGTTTTCAGTGTGAAATTTTTTGTAAATAAAATTTGTCTAGACATAACTGTCATCAGAAATTTCCAATGTAATGGTATCATTTGGTATGGACACATTGTCTTTACAGACTTTAACACAATGCTGATAGTGTAATGTATAATGATAGATTTTACATAAAATCTATGTAATGGTAGATTTTAGTTTTACACTATGATACCATTATGTTGGAAATTTCTGATGACAGTTATGTCTAGACAAATTTTATTTACAACAAATTTCATACTCAAAACTATTTTCCAGGGTTGGTATTGATTAAATCAAGCTGATTGAATCGTGTGATTAAATCATTTGGAATTGTTATAAAAATCATGATTTTTTTATTTTTATTTTATTATTGATTTTTTTATATATTTAAATATATTAAGTGGCAGTTTTTAATTTATTTTGAGGTATTGTTATTCATGGTTTGGTATGAGTGCTATGACAAATTGGAATATAAACTTGTTAAGTGGATGTGTAGGAGTACTGAGTAGGTTTGACACACATCTTGTATACATGTTCTGGCAAAGTTTGGTTCTGCTGCAATGAGTCAGTGACAATTTTTTTTTCCAGGTCTCATAGTGTGGCACAAGAGTTGTAAAATTTATCTCAAGGTCATCTGGTCCTTGAACAACCGCATGACAGTCAATAGTCGATAGGATTTATGCAGTCGGTAGTTGATAGGTTTCATCAATAGCCAGACTGTAAAGCAAGGCAAAACATTGGTTGAGGACTCCAATTTCATGCACCAAAGATGCCGAGGTGGATGCCACTGGATGCCAGTCACCAATTATGCTTCTCCATAAATCGCGATTTATGATCGTTTTGGCCGATGCGCCGTATTGATCTACACTACAATCGTAACTATGTGTCATAGCGCTTAGTT